CCTCCCCAGGCACGAGCTATCGAGTAAACCAGCTGTTTACCACCAGACAAGTGAGTCACTCACTTAACACAGACAGACTGCCGAAGTATAGCACGTCAGGAACGGCCGCTTCAGGAACGCGACAGCGGAACACGAGAACTCGACTAAATCACTTCAGAAAAAGCACCGGACGCTTCCGAAAAAAGCGTCGAACGGGCCACAAAAAGCGCCCAGGCGTGGACGGAGAAGGGAAGTGAGCAATGAGCTGAAATCGGCGCGGCGTGTCGACGCCATCGACGCTGGTGAAGGCGGAGGTAGTGGCCTGTTCTGCGCCGTCGATCGATATACGCGGGCGGACACCGGAGGCGATGCGTCATGGCTCGGTGTGCGTAGGAGGGAGGGGAGAGGAGGTGCGGGTGGGGAGGGGTCAGACGCGCGTGCCGTTCCGGCGGGTCGGTTCGCCTCCCCGGGGGGTATCGAGCGGTGACGGTGGCAGAGGCAGCAGCCGAGGGGAGGTGTCCTGTGATCAGTGATAGCGCAGCCCGCCGGTGACAGCCGCCGACACTGTCCAGACTGTCAGCGACGTGCGCCGCATTAATCACTGACGATCGATAATTGAATGGGATTGGAACGGAGCATGTCCAACGCCAAACGAACAGCAGCCTGCCTGTCGACAATACGGAGGGGATGTATGAAAAAGAACAAACATCAGCTGACAATCACCATGTCCACAGTATCCTGCCCACACTGACAATGTCAACATCAAACCACCAGAAACCACCAGCGAGCCATTGACATGACGTCACCCAGTCGATGACATAACATGACGTCACTGACCCGTCTGTCAGCGGCCTGTCACGTCCGTCACGCTGACAGCTCGGCGCGTCCGACGGGCCACGGGTGGCTCGTGTCGACCAGGGAGTGTCGGTGGGGCGTCTGATTGAGTTAGTCGGCACCCCGCTGCTGGCCGCTGACGAGGGCACCTGCGGAGACGGTCCCGTGTGCCAGACCCGGCCGGACCGGGGCATACACAGGGGAGGAGACGGGAGGTCGGACAGGGGATAGACAGCTGGTGAGCGCCCAGTGTGCACTGTTGCATACTCGATGATGATACGACCGTCGTACAGCCTCGAATTAGCCGTCAAAAAATGGTAACATGATAACATAAAAATGGTGATTTAAAAATATGACTGATATGCAAGGAAAACATGGAAACACGTTGCTCTGAGAAATTTATAGCCTGTTGGTTCATGCAAACGGTACTGGTGAGTGGTGCAAACGGCATGTGGTCCTTGTCCCACAGAACCAAGACACGAAATAAATCTTCTAACTAGCCTATTGGATGTCAAGGTGGCTATTTATAGGCATTACAGCGCGTTCCGTTTGCCTACAATAAATTGCGATCGGCCAGTTTCACACCAGCAAGTTCTCTCTAACGTCATGGAATGGCGCGGTGTTCCATTAAGCTCCTGTAGGTGTATGCGACAGTTCTCACCAAGTTGCCAGAACCGCCGGCAGGCTGTAAGCGACGTCTGGAGCGCTAAAGACGGGCTAGCGACCGTCGAATTTATTGGGAACCATGCCCGTGTGAACGGGTCTTTACAGTGCCCGTCTGCAGCCGCGGGAACTATGGTGAAGCGGGACGCAGCCATGCATGCATGGTGCTGATTCGCAGTGGTATGAGTAGAAGCGTTACAGCTTGGCTTTTCATCGGTGCCGTTACATGCCAAACGTTTAAAGGATGTGATGCTTGTTTACGGTTACACATTGGGACTGCATAGATCGGGTATTTTGTGGACAAAAGATCAGATTCTTTACAAACTGCTTTGCTATCTTCATATTGCATGCAAATTTAACGTCGTGCGAAAAATTAAGTAAAATTGCCTTTGTAATATTGAAAATAAGCTTTAGCTTGAAATATTCGAAAAATGAAAAATTTAATTTATTACTCCGTACTAAAAATGAAGAGCACTCATAAGTAGCAGCTTTCACATATACGGGTTACAGAAAGTGATACAGATAATCACCGCCCGCTTAATTAATTAAAATTTCAGCTGGACAAAGTTGCAAACTGGATAGTTTCGTCTCAGTCTCCCCTTCGTTACACCCATGCCAGCTGCCGCTAACTCCGCCTCCAGCTGCCGCCCTCCCCTCTCCTCCCCTCCCACCCCTCCCCACTGCACGTGGCACGCGCACCGGATGGTCGGTGCGGAAATTAAGCCCGCCACGGGACTCGAACAGCAATCAGACGGTTCAGGAGGGCGAACAATTTACCCGGCCATCGGCCCCTGGCTTTCCGGGTCCGCTATTTTTACCGGGTACCTACACTTTTATTGGATAGTGGGCGCAGAAAAGACGGGGGCGGTGCACGAGTCACGAAATCTATTTTCAACGGCAATTAGCTGGTTATTAGTCGTGATGAACGATGCCGATAAAAATGTATGTTTTGTGACAATGGGCAAAAAGCTGCACACGAATTGCGGCTTGTAGCTATTATCCGCGCATGATGATAAAAAGGCGTATTGAAACGTCGAAAAATATAACAATTCGTCACCCACCACTTGATTGTGACTTCAACGCCCAAGTCAAATATTTCACACAAAAAAAAAATCAAGTCACTGATGTCTTCAGACATGGGACAGTCTTTTAAAGCATAAGCAGAGATGATAACCACTAAGCAGGCGACATATTTCCCGTTTACGGCTTTAGTCTGATTATAGGTGGCCTCGACAATGTATACCGACAAGCTCATTCGCTTCCTTCCTGTCCCGTCAACGTATGTCTGCAGCAGTGCAGGTATGAGAAGCTCCGGTGAGGTTGTCGCACTTGTTTCAACGGCTGCAGAGGGCACAGGCATGCATCCCTATCTCATCCATCTATTATCTCATCCGTGCCTTCCCCCGACTCCCTCCCCCATGTGCACTCAGCACAGCACTCAGCAGCCGTATCAGCACAGAGAGCGGGGCGAATGGGTTACTCACGGTCATCCTGCCCTCTCTCCACTCTCCTCCCTACTCTGCAGCGGTAATGGCCCAGTTCCACTCCTTCCCCTGTTCCGCCCCACTCTGTATCATTTATCTCATCAATCCATCATAGCCCACCCGGTTTTAATAAGTGATATCCCTATCCCACACACAGAGAGACACTGCAGCTTCCATTTTATTTTATTTTTTGGGGGGGGGGATAAACGTGAACCAAACATACTCGCACAGTCGAACATGTTATATCGTCTCATATCCGAAGCAATGCAAATTATTTTATGTAGGGATCGACAAAAAAGATTCAACTTTTTGGGACGATATAACCGATAAGATATTAATTATTGATCGATGATCGGCACATTTCTAACGTGAAGGTGGAATTGAAATTTTAACATTCGTTTCAAGTGCATTGGAACATCAAATGGGCGGCATGAAAATGGATTCAACAAAAATATGTACGCACTCATTTAAGCCGGGTAACTCGCTCTCAGCCCCCTCCATTTCGAACTGCGGGACCTGCCGACATGCCGGGACCCCTCGTTCGGGCCATTGTGCCCTCTGCGCTCAGCACAATGCACATTCACCCTGTGCAGCTGCCCCACCATCGTTGACATTCTATCACGGGAAACACGACCCGGGTACCGGGCACGTCAACTGGGGGCCACTCGTGACGGCCTAGATCGGGGTGAGTGGGGTGGGGACCTGGGAAAGGACAGCGGCCGCCGCCATCGCGGCCACCTCTGACCTTTGGAAAGGCGGCCTTTCGGGTGACTCAGGGGAGAAACTTTGTCACGGGGACGAGCGATATATGGGGGCGGTCGTGGGGCCGCTGGGAAGCGGTGAACGCAATGAGTCGTAAGGTGAAGATGGATTTGCACCATTTAAACTTTCAAATGCCGCGCTTTTATGTGCATCGCGTCTAAGCCGTCGCAGCCTCAGTCAGTTTCCAGTATCCAGTGTCCATCGTGTACTGCGATCGCTGAGACAGAGGACAGCGAGGCCTCTCAGCCGCCCTCTCCCACTCTGAATCACACCCCGGTCGCCTAATTGACTTGCATGAGCTCTCTGTTCCTGCACACATCTGCGCGCGCTGCGCCTCCTATGGTCGCAGAACGACCGTTCTGGAGGTGACGACCCCACACCCTTTTCCCATCCCTACCCTCCTCTCCTCTCTATACACACCCCTCTCCTCTCCGAGCTGGGTTTTCAAGGTGAGCCGAGGCCTGTCAGACCGGTCCCCGCACGTGTAACTCATAGCTAGCCGGTGGGACGGCAGGAGTTGGTATACCCGCTCCGTTTGAATGTTACCGCGCCGGCAGTCCGGAACCGGGCCGGGCAGGAAGGGGGCTGCTCGCGACGCGTGACATGAGGCTTGGGCTTCAGATGCCGGGGTCGGGTGTAAAAACGGACACGAAGCTGACAGTTGGGTGTGAAGGCATGAGTACCTAGACTTGGAATAGGAGCGTGCATGTAGTGCGTTGTGTTTTGACGGTTTGTGTAGTTTTGTTTTGTTAGTGATTTCGGGGGAGAAGGGCGTGCCTTCCCACTCAAAGCGGAAAACAGTCAACCGTAGATCTCGTCAAACTTGAATGAATCATGCAATCAAATGTAAATGCTTCAAATAAAAATGCAATTGTTATGTATTGACTCGCCGTTCAATATTCAGTTATGTTGCTCTGGCTTCCGTTTAAAATAAAATTGACATCGGATTATTAGCGGCTTCGATACTATAGAGTATAGGTAGGGGCCTGTGACATTTATATCGTAAAAAATAATTCTATGCGGAGCCGATCATTTACAACATCCGTTGTCTTCTCGGGTCCCAAGCGTAAAACGGTCCGATTAACTACCGCCGCGGATATCAAACCGTGCACCACTTCCAACGCCGCCGAATAAATGTCCCTAAGCCGGTGAACCCTTGCCTAACCGTGACCAGTCAGTAGCCGCTGCGAGGTAGCCGCTCGTCGGAGGGACGATCCAACACAATATCGACCTGACCGACCCCGCCGCCCACTCACTCACTCAAGACGGGCGTCTTACCTCGCTGAGATCCGGTTTCTGCTCGATCGCCTGATACAAGTTCTCGGCACTCGCCACGGCCAGGACGGCCAGCACAGCACAGAGCGAGGTCCTCATGGTGTCGCCCGCGACACGGAGAGTCACTGATGGTCACCGAGTCACTGGAGTCTCGGTCCGGTTCCCTCCGCACCGACCAGCCCACTGCAGAGAGGCGACTGAGGGCCGCCCGCCGCCGCCGCCGCCCGGTCTAGTTGCCGCCGTGACCGATAGGTGGCAGGAGCGGCGCGTCGCACCACTGCCGACCCTATCATTGATGGACATCGACGGAAAGGGTAGGACGATGTCCGTGCGGTGAAACTTACAGGTTCGATATGGTTTTGATCTTTCAGTTATCATGTGACCGTTCATTGGCACCCCCCCCCCTCCCACACACACAAAGTACCATCCCATTTTGTTTTGTTCTGAATTTGTAGTTCGTGGAATGGCTGACTGTTCGATGTGGATGTTATTGGGCTTCGCAGAGACGTTTATGCAAATCGGAATGATCTCGTTATCTTCCACTCGGACAAACAAGTAGCGAATGGCCTATCCTCAGGTAGGTTCACTGCGGTATAAATCGTTCGCGGGACACCTGTAGGTTATAATACACAGTTGGGATAATGTTACAAAAAAGGGAGCTGTGGTGGTGTGCATCCCCAGTCTGTACCTGGGGTTTGCATCTCTACGTCCGTGTGTGCCCTCGGGGCACGGTCCGGCGGCGGCTCCCGGCCGGACCGTGCGGGGCCGCGGCAGTCTCTACTGGGTCCGCGCCACGCTCGCTCGCTGTGAACACAGGGGCGTAGGCAGGGGGGGGGCCACTGGGCCATGGCCCCCCCCCCTTGGGCGCCGAAGGCGCCCTTTGCGATTGGAGGGCGCCGAAGGCGCCCTCCAATCGCAAATGCAATTGTGATATAATCGAATCGAAAAACAATCGCGACTGGAGGGCGCCCTCCAATCGCGAATGTGTTTACAGGGAAAATACGGATGGAGGGCGCCTTCGGAGGACGCCCATTCCAAATACGCCCTCCAAATACGGTTGGAGGGCTCCCTCGGGCGCCCTCCAACCACATTTGTAGGCTGTAGCTCTCTAAGCGTAACGGTGGTCGCCTATGTAAGCCGCTGTCCCGTAAATAAGCGCCCTCTCACCCGAAGGCGCCCTCCTGTAGGTCGCCACCCTGCTACATATTGCCGCCCTTCTGCTGATCGGCGTCCTCATAATTATTGGCGCTCTCCTACCTATTGCGCCCTCATGTGAAATTTTCAAGGCCGCCTTTCTCCTTTTTGGCACCCTATTGTTCAGTGCCGCCCTCCTACCTATTGGTTCCCTAGTCCTTCCTGTTGAATGTTAATCGGGGCCCTTCTCTTATTGGCGCCCTCGTGTTGATCGCCGCCCTCCTAACCACTGGCACCCTCCTGTTGATCACCGCCCTCCTATCCACTGGTACCTTCCTGTTGACCAGCGCCCTCCGCACAGACGCCCTCCTGTTCGTGTCATCCTCTTGAGCAAAGGCGCCCTCCTCACCATTGCCACCCCCATTTTAATCGTCACCCTTCCGCTCATTAACGACTCCCAGTTGATGACCGCCCTCCCACCTATTGGCGACCTCTTGTTGATCGCCACCCTCCTATTGGTGCTCTCCTGTTCCTCGCCACCCTCTTACCTGGTGGCGCCCTCCTGTTGATTGTTGATCGGGGCCCTCCTACCTATTGGTGCCCTCCTGTTGATCGCTGCCCTTCTATCCATTGGCGCCCTCCTGCTGCTCGCCAACTTCCTACCTATCGGTGCCCTACTATCGAAACTCGGGATGTTGATCGGGGCTCTCCTACCTATTAGCGCCCTCCTGTGGATCGCAGCCCTTCTACCTATTGGCAACATCCGTTGATCGCTGCCCTCTTATCATTTATTTACTCCTTTGGCATGTTTTTCAACTTAGTCGTTCTATTGCACATAGTTGATGTCTTGCCTGTGAAAACTGCCACAAATGAACGTGCATTCAGCACAATGAATGAAGTACCTATACCTACCAAAACTATCTACGCTCTACGATGCATAAAACACGTCTTTGGTCTTAACGGATTGATCCTACTTTACGTGCATCATGGTATCTATATGGATTACGATTAAGTATTGTCAACAGGTTCGGCCGCAACAGCAGGCATCTGAAGTTTCGGTGATTGAAACTGGTTATGTGGGTACACTGTATGCATCTGTGAGAAGGCTATGAAGGCTGGTCTGATGTAATTTGGATGATGTTTACGCATCTCGCGCTCCGGTATCAATCCGATACGGTGATCTGGTGCGTAGATATGCCACCGCCAATAAACTTTTATACATCGACACCCATGAGCCAAGCTTTCTATACAGTTTGTGTGGCAGCGGCCCGACCAAACCTTAGGTATTTTTTACACCTTCAAATTTGGTAAAAGAGCGAGAGGAGCTTTGAACGGTGATCGTATAAAAGGCGTGCCTAAAAAGCGGAGGAAAAGGTTGTTTTCAAAAATTTCGCGCGCCTTCGGCGCAGCATTTCAAGAACACTTGACCTTTTGTGACCTGGAGTATAAAGAATACACACGATGCAAAATCAATGCAGCACGACCTATACGAGGTTACGCAAAAAAAAAAACTGGTGGCATGGTAAAAAACGCCTCCCAACCCCCCAACCCCCACCCCGCTGAGCGATTTTTTATCTCGCGACCGTATGGCGCCCTCCTTGGGTGAGGTGGCGCCCTCCAAACCCTTGGCCCCCCCCTTCGCGATTTTCTAAATACGCCGCTGTGTGAACAATACACCTGCACCGGTTCAGAGGCGTCTTCACATGGCGCAGCCTGCAGGGTCGTGAACGTGCGATTACCAGTGCAAGTGTGACAGGGCGACGTGCATAATTATTGTGCATTTTCGACCCAGCAATGGGGGACTCTGACGCCGACAGCGTAGCGGATGCGTCTCGGGAGCCGGATGCGTCTCGGGAGCCGGCCGCTTCCGTCGCGGTTCGGGCTGCCGCGCCGCGGCAGCGGGCCGGCCGCGGTCGTGCGTCCCGCAACGCGCCGGCCCCGTGGGCGGGCCGAGTACGAGCACCGGACAGCCTGGACCTCTCCACGGACCGGGGTGAGTCTTTCCTGGTGTGGAGAGAAAGCTGGGAGGACTACGTGCTCCTGACCGGCTTGATAGACGCTGAACCTGACATTCAGCTGGCTGCCCTGAAAAATGTCATGACCCCGGAGAGTCGCCGCGTCCTGAGGAACCTGGAGCTGACCGAGGTCCAGCGTGCCGATCCCGAGGTTGTACTGGACGCGCTGGAGCGTTTCGCAGTGGGCCAAGTAAACGAGGTTATCGAAAGGAAGAGGTTTAACGAAAGGTTTCAGGCTGAAGGGGAGGTCTTTGATGATTTTCTAACCTCCCTGCGTGAATTGTCTCGTGCTTGCAAATTTTGTGACGCGTGTAATGATTCGCTAATCAGGGATAGGATTGTGATGGGTCTGAGATCAGCGGAGACAGTCAAACGTCTCTGCGCCGTCCAAAACCTCTCGCTGTCGCATGCCATCGCTGTTTGCAGGGCTGACGAGGCGGCCGCCAGAGACGCCGTGGAGCTGCGGGCAGGCGGACTCGCCCGGGCCGCCGCGCACCGAGTGGACGCCGCCGAGCGCCACCGAGCGCCACCGAGCGCCGCCGAGCGCTGGACCGAGGCGGCGCGACGGCGGCTGGTGCGCTGCGTGCGGCCGGCGACGTCACCGGATGGGAGACGCGTGTCCGGCCCGGGGTCAGCGCTGTCGCAGCTGCCGTCAGCTGGACCACTTCGCGGCAGTTTGCCCCGACGCATCTGGCGACTACGATGACCGCCGACCGACCACGTCGTACGGGCGCCGCCGGCTGGCCCCGTCTCGGCTGCGGAGCTCGCCACCTGGGCGGAGCTACAGGCCCGACCCGTACCGCTCGTCGTCGAGATCGCCGTCCCCGTCGCTGGACACGCGGCGATCGCAACGGCGCCAGCCGTGGCGCGGCACCCGGGTCCGCTTCCAGTCGTCGGAGGGCAGCAGTGACCGGAGCCCGGACGGTGCGGCGCGGCGACCGGCCGCGTCGGCCATCATCGCGGTCGCTTCGGTGCAGAGCGCCCCCCGCGTGCGCCTGGATGTCACGGCGCAGCGCCGCGCCTCGGTACTCGCGCTGCCTGACACCGGGGCTGACATCTGCGTCGGAGGACTCGACTTCCTGAAGGAGATGGACGAGTACCCGGAGAACCTGCTCCCCCCGGAGCAGCATCCTCGGACAGCCAACGGCGAGACGGTCAAGTCGCTGGGAGTCCTGCCGGTCTCGCTGAATCTCGGCCGCGTTTCGGTGCAGGAGTCGGTGCACATCCTGGAGGGCGTCAGCGGCCTGCTGCTCTCCTGGAAGGCCGTGAAGGGACTTCACATCATTCCAGCCGGCTATCCGCAGCAGATAACCGCCGATCTACCGGAACCCGCCTCTGGCTCTCGCACCAGGGACGCACCAGACCGCCCTCGGTCGGGGCCAGCGCGGCATCGGCACCGGTCTCGCGCCGCGCTGCCCGACGGTGGCACGTCATCGGACTGCGTGGCGGCGGTGTCGCGCGACGGCGCTGCTGGAGAGGCGACCGCGGCGACACCTGTCGAGCGGCCTGACAGCAGCCTTCCGACCGGTGCACCTGCATCTGAAGACGGGTCAGCAGAGCCGCCTGTGGACCAGGGAGGCTCCTTCCCGGACATCACGTCCGAGTTCCCCACCGTGTTCGACGGCCACATCAGAGTCATGCCGGGGGAGCAGTTCAAGATTCACCTCAGGGAGGAAGCCGTGCCGTTCCGCGTGTCGAGCCCACGACGAGTGCCCCTCTCACTCCGCACGCCGCTGAAGGACGAGTTGCAAAAGCTGGTGTCCGAGGGCATCATCGTGCCCGTCACGGAGCCGACTGAGTGGTGTGCACCGATCGTCGTTGAACCGAAGAAGGAGGGAGGAATCAGGCTGTGCGTGGACCTGTCTCGCCTGAACAAGTTCGTCCGCACCGAGCAGTACCAGGCACCCACCCCGCTGGAGGAAGTTGCCTCTATAGCGAGCTCGGAGGCGAAGTGGTTCACCGTCTTCGACGCGGCAAAGGGCTACCACCAGTGCCCTCTTCATCAGGACAGCGTGCTGAAGACGACGTTCATCACGCCGTTCGGCCGGTA